TCTTTTACTTATATTGTCTTTATATATATATATATATATATATATATATATGCGGTGTTTATTTGAAAGCGCCCGATATCAGTGATGGCGCTAACATATTTAGTTGAATGGATGTGAGTTTGTGAGTGTCGGTTTCACGCTGATGCGATCCGCAGACAAATTTTTCTTTAGTAACGCGTTTGTCTGATTTGGATAAGCGTGAAACCAACGGTCACAAACTCATATCCATTCAAATATATATATATATATATATATATATATATATATATATATATTTTGAAGTGCCGAAAATAAGACAACTACCTAATCATGTGGCATAAAGTCTAGTATATCTATTCAGGTAGATTCCAGTATGTCTCTACCAGACTCATGTTTTTAGGTGTGGTATCACGTAATTCAATGAGATCAATACATCTCATATACTCAATGGACTCTAAATCTAGCGAGCAACAGTGACAATTACTTGAAATTCCAAAGTGGCGACAATGGGTTGTGTGGTCTTGTCTATGTATATATTTTGGTCACTAGGGAATTATGCATAACACGGTCAAGTATTTTCAGTTTTTTTGTTGTTGTATGTATGTATGTATGTATACGATTGATTCTTAAGTCCAGAAAGAAAGCAATTGCAGGCAAGAAAAATATAATAAAAAATAATAAAATCTTAAAAAATACTTGTTTAACAAAACTCGTATTCATGAGAGATTGTTGCCCAAATATATAACTATATATACTGACAAACCTTTCATCAACGGACTAATAGTGGGGAGGGGTACTCCGTTGAAGTCGATTGTCCGTAGATTCAACTGAATCATCCCAAGCCAGAACTGATTCTGCTATTTCGTCCACAGAAAGAACTTGGTAACCGGTGTTGAACGTACCACGAGTACACCACTTCTTACAGTTCATTTCTGTTTGTTTCTTTACATGAGACTTTCTCGCTCAGGTTTACAAACGAAACTCCAGCCTCTAACTTCTTAAGAAGCTCGAATTTGTCGCTGATACTTAGGTGTGTACGCTTCTTTCTTATACTTTCCTTCTGCTTTGATACCATGACGAAGACAGAACAATTAATATATCAATCAAGATAACAAAAATAACAGATTTCTCACAGTTACTTTCTCACGTACGCGCTAATGTATCGTAGTTTATATTATGTACAAACGTCTTTGTTTACAATTAAAAGGCCCGCCATGGCTGCCAAGCGGTCACTGAAAACTAATACGACTCGTTCCGCTAATCCTGCAAATTTTTAAATACATCGCTGATTTTTTCTGCAGATATATATATATATATCTGCAGAAATATATATATATATATATATATCTGCAGAAATATATATATATATATATATATATATATATATCAGAAATATATATATATATATATATATATATATATATATATATATATATATATATATATATATATATATATATTATATATATATATATATAAATATACCCATATATATATATATATAATTATATATCTGCAAAATATATATATATATATATATATATATATATATATAAGAAATATATATATATATATATATATATATATATATATATATATATATATATATATATATATATATCTGCAGAAATATATATATATATTATATATATATTTTGCACGAATCAATTTATTCTATATATATATATATATATATATTTCGTGTAAAAATATATATTATATTTATATATATATATTCATCTGCCAACCGATTTGTATATATATATATTTATAAAAGAAAATATATATATATGATCTAAAGAAATTGAAATATATATATGCTCAGAAATATTCAATATATATATTTATAAAAATTTATATATATATATATATATATATTTGCCTATATAATATTCTTCGTCGTTTTTTATTTTTGATGTCTGAGGAGCGAGGTTAGAAGAATGTGACTTCAAACTGTTTTAAAAAAAAACTCACTTTTCATCCAACCCGTGTTTTATCTATCTCGAGAAATGGAACATTCATCGACACTAATTAACTGATAGAAATATATAAATAACATATATATATATATTTATTTATGAACGACTATCGTCTTCATATATATATATATTCAATAAATAATATATATATATATCAGATAAATATATATACATATATATATATATATATATCCCATATAAAATATATATAGTATATATATATATATATATATATATATATATATATATATATATATCTTAGGTAAACCTGACAGACCTCTAATTTTTCTCTAGGTTGGTTTGAATTCAGATGTATCTTTCTAGCGATTGAAACCAAGTTTAAAGGTCATCAATCAACCAAATATATTACTCTCTATCTCTGATATTGAGCGATTTTAATAAGTATATAATATATATATATATATATATATATATATAAAAGTATATATACTGTGTGTGTGTGTGTGTGTGTTTGTGGGGACTATAATTACCTCTACCTTTGCAAAAAATCAATTTTTATTCTATTTATGTACTGCGATTATTTTTCGTGTAAAAACGCGTCTTAGTTTTGTTAATATCGTTCATCTACCAACCGACTTTGTAGATAAGAGGTTTAGCAAAAGAAAACTGTGGAATGAGATAAAGAATTGAAATGGCTATTAAGTGCTCGCAATATTCAAGATAGCGCTTTTTAAAAAAAATTTCTTCAGGAACCAGTAAACTACTGCTAATAAGATTCTTCGTCGTTTTTTCTTTTTTTGATGTCTGAGGAGCGAGGTTAGAAGAATGTGACTGGTCAAACTCTTTTCAAGACCCGTGTTTTAACCACCGAGAAATGGAACATTCAACGACACTAATTAACCGATAGAAACTACCCAAACATGGGTAGGTCATGTGACGAGAATGAACGACTATCGTCTTCAACGGATCACTTCCTGTTCAATAAACTAATTTAAAGATATCAGATAAAACGGATGAGACACAAGGAACATCACGGTCACGAGTCCCGTAACACATTAAAATCGTAAGAGTAACACATGTTCTGCTGTCGTAGCAGCATTGGTGCATCTTGGGTAAACCTGACAGACCTCTAATTCTCTCTAGCTTGGTTTGAATTCAGATGTATCTTTCTAGACTGATTGCCAACCAAGGCTATAGGTCATAGTCTGTAATGATATTTACTCATAGCTAGGTGTGTGGAGGGGAGAAGAGATGGATTCATACTTTCCCCCAAAGTATTTACTCGTAAGTGAATGAAACGAAAGAGGGGAGAAGAGATGGATTCATACTCTTCCCAAAAGTATTTACTCGTAAGTGAATGAAACGAAAGAGGGAAGAAGAGATGGATTCATACTCTTCCCAAAAGTATTTACTCGTAAGTGAATGAAACGAAAGAGGGGAGAAGAGATGGATTCATACTCTTCCCAAAAGTATTTACTCGTAAGTGAATGAAACGAAAGAGGGGAGAAGAGATGGATTCATACTCTTCCCAAAAGTATTTACTCGTAAGTGAATGAAACGAACTCGATTAGAATTCGAAGATGGCTCTATGAATTCCCATTCGTTTCACCATCACATATACAGAAAGAAGATAAGGAATTCTTAAAAAAAAGAACCATCATTGTGAAGTAAACGACAGAATGTGAACAATTATAGAGAGGCATAGTAACATGGAGTCTCTCAACTAACCTTTCATTCGGAAGCATATCACAGAGCTATAGCAAAATAAAATGAGTTGCAATACCTTCTTCTAGATGTGAGAAAATTTCCTATAGAACACCATTTACATTATTCGGACTATTGTCCTCATCTTTGTCGCTATATTTATTACAACGTTTCGGCAGTTGTACTCTCCGGCCTTCTTGAGGTTGTTGGAATGTCGAACAGAATCCTTTATTTCGGTCAATGGGGTAGACTGTTCTAGTTCCACGTGCCATGTCTAATAGATGCCAGTTATCAGTTATCTCCTGTTATTACCCCTCTCCAATCGATATTAAGTATTCTTCTTCCATAAATATGCAAATTTTAAACAGTTATATGTGTATTGTTTATACGTTATTTTTTATAAATATAATTTAAGTAGATGCTCGATGTTTTTAATTAATTCAGGCCGATAAATGTAATTGACACTGTTTAGTTAAAAAAACGGAGCATTTACTTAAATAAATTATATCTATATAATAACGTATAAACAGAAAATATATCAAATAATTTTCGGACCTAATTCATTTCATTATATATATATATATATATATATATATATATATATATATATATATATAGAGAGATAGAGAGAGAAGATAGATATAATGAAATGAATTAAGTCCGAAAATTATTTAATGTATAGCAAACGAACCATATTTAAAATCAGTTAATTTATAAAATTTATGATTTGTAAATTTACATTGAGCACTGTTTTGTAAAAATAAAAATATCAATAAGAACACCGGATTATATATATTACTGTTCTTTCTTTTTATAATATATATATATATATATATATATATATATATATATATATATATATATATTAAACAATGTGTAATGTGTGTATTGCCTCGTTACTTCCTACCTTGTTAGAAGTCCTCCCCTGTAGTTCCTGTTTTTAAGAATATTTCTGATTATTATCGTCCTATTAATCTCCTACCGCGTTTCGGCAAAGTATTCAAGGCTTTAAACAAGGTTGAAATGATTAAGCATCTTAGCTCTCCCACTTTACTCTCTTACAAACAATATGGCTTTCGTTTTACCAGTTCTACCTGTGATGTGCTAACGGCAATCAGTGAATATATTGTATTAATGAATACGAAAAGGTGGAGAGGTGATATTTAAATATATTTAGTTAGACTGAAGCTATGAAAATATGATCTCCATAGCTGGACGTGAACACCAGCAGGAGAAACCTTAGATTATATTCACTGGTGATAGATATATAGATAGGAACAGACTGACAAAGATATATAGACAGATATAAATAGACTGAGACAGATATATCATACTTTGATAGATAGAAAATAAATAGATAGATATGAAAAGACTGCGTTAGATAGATAGATAAATATAAACAGACTGCGTTAGAATAGATATAAACAGACGGCGATAGATAGAGAGATAAACAGACGGCGATAGATAGAGAGATAAACAGACGGCGATAGATAGAGAGATAGTTAGATATGAACAGACTGCGATATATAGATAGATAGATAGACATGAACAGACTTCTATAGATAGGTAGATAGATAGACATGAACAGACTTCGATAGATGGACATGAACAGGTAGATAGATAGACATGAAGATAGATAGATAGACATGAACAGACTTCGATAGATAGATAGGTAGATAGACATGAACAGACTTCGATAGATAGATAGATAGACATGAACAGACTTCGATAGATAGATAGATAGACATGAACAGACTTCGATAGATAGACATGAACAGACTTCGATAGATAGATAGGTAGATAGACATGAACAGACTTCGATAGATAGATAGGTAGATAGACATGAACAGACTTCGATAGATAGATAGGTAGATAGACATGAACAGACTTCGATAGATAGATAGGTAGATAGACATGAACAGACTTCGATAGATAGATGGGTAGATGAACATGAACAGACTTCGATAGATAGATATAGGGTAGATGAACATGAACATAGATAGATCGATAGATAGATAGGTAGATAGACATGATGACAGAACTTCGATAGATAGATAGGGACAGATAGACATGAACAGACTGAACAGACTTCGATAGATAGATGGGTAGATAGACATGAACAGACTTCGATAGATAGATGGGTAGATAGACATGAACAGACTTCGATAGATGGGTAGATAGACATAGAACAGACATGAACAGACTTCGATAGATAGGTAGATAGACATGAACAGACTTCGATAGATAGGTAGATAGACATGAACAGACTTCGATAGATAGATAGGTAGATAGACATGAAACAGACTTCGATAGATAGATGGGTAGATATGAACATGAACAGACTTCGATAGATAGATAGGATGGGTAGATAGACATGAACAGATTCGATAGATAGGGTAGATAGACATGAACAGACTTCGATAGATAGATAGATAGATAGATAGGAACAGACTTCGATAGACATGATAATAGACTGAACAGACTTCGATAGATAGATGGGTAGATGAGACATGAACAGACTTCGATAGATGAATAGGTAGATAGACATGAACAGACTTCGATAGATAGATGGGTTCGATAGATAGACATGAACAGACTTCGATAGATAGATGGGTAGATAGACATGAACAGACTTCGATAGATGAATTCGATAGATAGATGAATGAACAGACTTAGATAGATAGACATGAACAGACTTCGATAGATAGATAGATGAACAGACTTCGATAGATAGATAGACATGAACAGACTTCGATAGATAGATAGATGATGAACAGATATGACATGAACAACAGACTTCGATAGATAGATAGATAGATAGATAGATGAACATGAACAGACTTCGATAATGATAGATGGTAGATAGATTCGATAGATAGATAGGTAGATAGACATGAACAGACTTCGATAGATAGATAGGTGAACAGACTTCGATAGATAGGTAGATAGACATGAACAGACTTCGATAGATAGGTAGGTAGATAGACATGAACAGACTTCGATAGATAGATAGGTAGATAGACATGAACAGACTTCGATAGATAGATAGGTAGATAGACATGAACAGACTTCGATAGATAGATAGATAGACATGAACAGACTTCGATAGATAGATAGATAGACATGAACAGACTTCGATAGATGGATAGGTAGATGAACAGACATGAACAGACTTCGATAGATGGGTGATAGATGGGGTAGATAGACATGAACAGACTTCGATAGATAACATGGATAGATGGGTAGATTCTGATAGATAGGGTGAACAGACTTCGATAGATAGATAGGTAGATAGACATGAACAGACTTCGATAGATAGATAGGTAGATATACATGAAACAGACTTCGATAGATAGATGAACATGAACAGACTTCGATAGATAGACATGAACAGACTTCGATAGATAGATAGGTAGATAGACATGAACAGACTTCGATAGATAGGTAGATAGACATGAACAGACTTCGATAGATAGGTAGATAGACATGAACAGACTTCGATAGATAGGTAGATAGACATGAACAGACTTCGATAGATAGGTAGATAGACATGAACAGACTTCGATAGATAGGTAGATAGACATGAACAGACTTCGATAGATAGATAGATAGGAACAGACTAGATAGACATGAACATGATTCGATAGATAGAGATAGACATGGACTTCGATAGATAGATAGGTGAAACAGATTCGATAGATAGATAGATAGATAGGTAGATAGACATGAACAGATTCGATAGATAGATAGATAGATACTTCGATAGATAGATGAATGAATGATTCGATAGATAGATAGATGGGTAGATGAACAGAACAGATTCGATAGATAGATGATAGGTAGATAGACATGAACAGATTCGATAGATAGATATAGACATGAACAGACTTCGATAGATAGATAGAGATAGACATGAACAGATTCGATAGATAGATAGATAGGTAGATAGACATGAACAGATTCGATAGATAGATAGATAGGTAGATAGACATGAACAGATTCGATAGATAGATAGATAGGTAGATAGACATGAACAGATTCGATAGATAGATAGATAGGTAGATAGATGAACATGAACAGATTCGATAGATAGAATTAGATAGATGAGATAGATTCGATAGATAGATAGGGTATAGACATGAACAGATTCGATAGATAGATGATAGATAGGTAGATAGACATGAACAGATTCGATAGATAGATAGATAGGTAGATAGACATGAACAGATTCGATAGATAGATAGATGAATGGATAGACATGAACAGATTCGATAGATAGATAGATAGGTAGATAGACATGAACAGATTCGATAGATAGATAGAATGTAGATAGACATGAACAGATTCGATAGATAGATAGATAGGTAGATAGACATGAACAGATTCGATAGATAGATAGATAGATAGATAGATAGGTACAGATTCGACATGAACATAGATTCATGATAGATAGATTCTTGATAGATGGTAGATGAATAGGACAGACATGAACAGATTCGATAGATAGATAGATGGTAGATAGACATGAACAGATTCGATAGATAGATAGATAGGTAGATAGACATGAACAGATTCGATAGATAGATAGATAGGTAGATAGACATGAACAGATTCGATAGATAGATAGATAGGTAGATAGACATGAACAGATTCGATAGATAGATAGATAGGTAGATAGACATGAACAGATTCGATAGATAGATAGATGGGTAGATAGACATGAACAGATTCGATAGATAGATAGATGGGTAGATGAACATGAACAGATTCGATAGATAGATAGATAGGTAGATAGACATGAACAGATTCGATAGATAGATAGATAGGTAGATAGACATGAACAGATTCGATAGATAGATAGATAGGTAGATAGACATGAACAGATTCGATAGATAGATAGATAGGTAGATGAACATGAACAGATTCGATAGATAGATAGATAGGTAGATGAACATGAACAGATTCGATAGATAGATAGATAGGTAGATAGACATGAACAGATTCGATAGATAGGTAGATAGACATGAACAGATTCGATAGATAGGTAGATAGATAGACATGAACAGATTCGATAGATAGATAGATAGGTAGATAGACATGAACAGATTCGATAGATAGATAGGTAGATAGACATGAACACACTTCGATAGATAGATAGATATGAACAGACGGCGATAGATAAATTATTGAGAAAAAAGAATAAAAGATTTGTACAAAATTTTGAAATGTGGAATTTTAAGAATAAAGATTAGTTAAAAAGAAAACACTAAAACGTCAAAACAAAGAACATTTTTGTTTTGACGTTCCCATGAGGTTTTCGAGAAATTTTCCTCTGTTTATAATTCGAATATTTCAAGAATTATCTTTATAAAATTATTTATTTTAATTTCAAGTGGAATAGCAGAAAACTAGAGAGAAAAATAGCGATTGTTCCTTGCGGATCAACGAAAATTCAGATTAACAGAATTCACATTACAATGGGGACACATTTTCATGGATATATTTTGTGTTTACTTTTCCTAAACAAGTTTCAAATATCAGGCCTGGCACAATCCTCACTAAGAGGATTTGTATAGTCATCTAAAAGTTTTTTTTTTTTTTAAATCCTGCAGGTAGTGAAAATGTGTGCGTTCTTCGTAAAATATAAGCCTGGTTGTTTACGCATCTGAAAAGATGAGCCTGGGTTTTATCAAAACAATGTAGGCACTCAAAATGTGTATACTCGTCGAAAATGATGAGGCTGATTGTTTACGCTTTCGAAAAAGATGAATTTAGGTTTTTGATAAAATCTGTAGACATCCAAAATTGCGTTAATAAGAAGCAACTGAAGTGACTTACCAAAATCAATGCTGTTCCTTCGCAGGCCACTTGATGGAAGAAAGCGCCCGTCAATGTCCATTGCTTCCCATAAGGCAGCTGCTACATATTTCAGGTTTTCCAGAGATGGCGTCGTCAAAATCCACGATTTTGTGCCGCGGAATTCGAGGACTAAACCACCGTGAGCTCGGTCTTCTCCCGTGTACCATTCCTGAAGATCCCCGACGCGTTCAGATTTGGCCAGGGCTTTGGTCTTGTGGTCCAAGAGAATGATTTTCTCATGTGTGATTCCCAGCAACCGGGAAACCTACAAAATGCAGCAATAAATTTTGTATATTAACAAAACATAAAATAAAGGATTTAAAATAGGCGGGTCGCACCTATTTATATATATATATATATATATATATATATATATATAAATACAATTTTTTATATATATATATAAATACAAATGCAACTATTATTATATATATATTAATACAACTACTATTAGATATATATTAATACAACTTATATATATATATATTATATATATAATACAACTATTATTATCTGTCTATATTTCTGGGATGAGGTATTATGTACGTTATTTACATTATTCAGACTATTATCCTCATCTTTATCGCCATATTTATTACAACATTTCGGCCGTTGTACGCTCCAGCCTTCTTGAGGTGATTGGAATGTCGAACAGAACTCTTTATTTCGCTCACTGTAGTAGACTATTCTAGTTCCAGTTACCATGTTTTAATGGATGTCAGTTATCTCCTGTTAATTTCCCTCTGAAAGTTCTCCACTGCCTTAACCGGGTATTGAACTTACACTCTTTGGGTCCTGTCACTGGATCTAACCAACGCCTTTATCCACTGTTTCATGTGTCCTCAAGTAGACAGTAGGTAAAGTGGATAGAACTACTATTATATATATTATATATATATATCAATACAACTACTATTATATATATATATATATTAATACATTATATATATATATATATATATACATACATACATTATATATATATATATATATGTGTATATTAACATAACTTATATATATATATATATACATATTAATACAACTATTATTATATATATTATATATATGTTAATACAATGTATTATAGTTTCTGCCTTCGTAGAAATATTTATATCTAGAAAAATATTAAGCTGAACTTCTCAAGGAAAGCCAAGATCGTGTTGTTGATATCTACAGATGATTTCTTCTTTTCTTTTTATATGCCGTGTCCCTTCAGGACGTAGGAGATCATGGCTCTCCATTTCCCCCTATCCCTTGTAGCTCTCAATAAGTTTTGCCCCTTTGTTTCTTCCCCCAGGCCCTGTTCTGTCATCCACTTAAGACCACTAGGTATGTCATACGTTGTTTTCCCTTGTCTCTCTCTCTGCCCTTCTACCCGCCCTGTGAGTATCAGATTCTCCAAGCCCTTCTTTCTCATTACGTGTCCCCAAAATTTCTGTTGCATTTTCCTGGTGTTAAGCATAAGCTTAAGTCCCAACCTCGCAGTTTCAAAGTGAAGGGTATATTTATGCAGAACAATGCTTCTGCTCAGGTATCTAATGTTGCCCGGAAATTTTGAGCATAAAATGTTTATAGATGAGAAGATATTGGAATGGCCGCCATCAAGTCAGATTTAGAATCTTACAGAACATTTACGGTCAACTGTGTAGATATAATTATATGAAGGTGGTAAACAATATGACAGAAAAGAAGACTCATGGGAAGTAATTAAAACCACCATGTCTATAAATGAACCTGCTGAAGCAAGAAATTTAACAAAATTATTGGATATAAAACTGATGTTATCAAGTAGAAGGGCCTTTATATTAAGATGTAAATGCTTTTAAAGTCTTATAGATGTTTGATATTTGTTCAATTATAGGTGTTGGATTGTTGATCATCTTGTTAATGAAGTAAACAGTAGTTTTCTATTTTTGGTTATGTTATATCGTGGATAATACGATATAAGCAACTAGGTAATTCCGAATGGAAAGATCACGCCAAACACAGGTAAAACAAAGAATATAGGTTTTATTGTACGGAAAGTACAATGATTAAGAGTTCTTAATAAAAAGGAAAACACGAGATACGTCACGGAGACCCGTAGTGGTACTGCTATTACAATACTTCGTCACATCATTTATTTTCTCCTCATTCACGTCTCTTTAGCCTGACCAATCACTGTCGGGGTGTGATAGATTATTCCACTATAACAGGTTAATAACTAAATCCAGTAATATTAATAAAACACGTTGAATCTGCCTAAACATTTAATTTAAAAAATTGCTTTGACGTCTAAGTTAATCGTTTAAAATTTGACAAAAAAAATCACAAAGCAAATTCGATTTATTGAGTTTTAGGTGAGTTGCATAATAGCCTCAGACGAACTGTAAGCTGGACGTGGAGATAGCATAGGAGTTATCCCTGCTAGCACAGAACGTTCTTCCCTCGTTGCAGATACTTTGAATTTTGGTTAGAGGATAGGTCACGTGGTAGCGACGTTACTGTAATGATAAAATCAACTATTTTTCTGACTCAAAACTGACTACTCATCTCGAAAGTTGTCACAATTTTATGGAAACGTTGTGAAGAGCTGGAACTGAAAAAAATTCCGCTTTGGTCAATTATAATATCGGATTATTTTTCTTCACTTAACAATATATATGGAAGATAGAAAGTTTATTTTCGAACGAAAAGGAAAAAGAATGCTCATTTTATGGAGAAGGTATTGTAAATAATCGAATGAATCAAAAGTGATTTGTGAAAGTTCATGCCAGGGATTTCTCGATCAACGATTTTCTAAAGTCGGGGAGGCAATTTATGGTCGGTAAATATCAGAAGAATTTATTAGTTGAAAATAATCAAATGATAGGGGCACTTCGACATGGTGTAAAGGTTAACAAGCTAGTTTCGCAAGTTCAGTTACGACTGAATAGTGAGTTTGATACTATGAATATTGAGTTTGACCCTCTGAATAGTGAGTTTGCTCCTATTTGGGCCACATATCCGGCCTTGTGCCACACGTACGCTTTGAAAGTCACCATATATAGTGCAGGTGATAGTCAACACACATTCATAATTAAGTAATTCAGCGAGTCTCGAAGAAACCTCAACAGAATGCAGAAAGCACTGGACGGCCGTTTCGTCCTACATTTGGGATTCAACAGCGGTGCGCATCCACTGCCGAGAATTGAAACCCGGATCAGGCAAACGTGATACCAACTGTACCAACGGGCCTCGGCGACGAAGAGGTAACGAATTAGACTCGATACAGCGCCACTCGATCACATATTCCGTGGTGGAATCATCCGAGTTTCTCTTTTACCCATAGGACTGTGCCCCCACCAGCCACGACTACTATCCCCATTTCGCTCCAGGCAGAGGATTAGAAGCCGGTTCAAGCAAGGATATACAAGTGACAGAAATTATTATGAGGATTTGAGATAATCATAAGTAATTCATTGAGTCTAGAAGAAACCTCAACAGAACGTAGAAAGCACAGTGAAAAAGCAGATTCGATTTCTGGATATGAAGTCAACCAATCTAAAAGAATTGTGGGATACCATAATAATAACATGGACAGAAGATTATACCTAATACACTGACCGGCCGATATATATATATATATATATATATACTGAGGAAAAATGCATGACAGAGTGGGAAAAGTTTTTATTGCGACGCGTTTCGACCTTTAGGACTTCATCACTCTACATTTTGTTACGTTGGTGCGACTACGCATGCTCACGAAAGAGGGATGATGGGAATTTTATTTTTTTTTAAATTTAGCCGATTCATTTAGATTCTTTTTCTGTACATCACTTTTGAGCATTTTTCATCACTTTTATATATACTTTACAAAATTCAATGCTTGACAAAAATATTTGCTAAAACAAAAACAAATAAAATAAAGAAAACGGATTAATTAAAAAAGGTTCTCAAGAAAATTGAGGAGGAGCTGTCGATTGTGATGTGCCCAGAGTGGGAAGATCTGCTCAGTGAGAGATCGGAGGTGATAACGGCTTGCGGGAACGCAGGAAAAATCTCTACTGGCTATTTACGATCCCGAGTATTTGTAAAAGCTGAATACCCTCACTCTCTCTTCTAATTTGCTTTTTTCTGCCCCCTCTCCGCGATTATCAATACATGTACGCAGATAAATGAAGTTTTGAAATCATATATCTAGTCTTAGAGCCTGATGATACCGTTCTGGAAGAAACTGTGCTTGCGTATTGGTCGGTATATATGGCTATTTTCTAGAAATGTTTTACCAAGTTAACTAACTTTAGCCTGAATTCGAGCAAAAATATATTTACTAAATTGTTTTGTAATGAAATGCCGAGCAAATAATTATCACCGACCGTTTTGGATGGATATTTAATTGCAGTAGCTTTCTCAAGGAAGCCAGCTTTTTGTAGAATCATTTGCAGAAAGCAAACGGCCATTAGTTCTTTTTTTAACCAAGTAACAAATACCGTGTTACGAGGCCGATAGTTAATGAAATTTATAGATTCGTTGCTGACATTTCTAATGAAATACTGTATTTGATGAAATAAATGTCGCTGTTTTTTTTGTTTTTTATAAAAAATAATATGTTCTTTAGATAGCAAAAACGAATGCGTGCGTGAAATGACTTCAGCCAACCAGTGAGAAGTACGCAAGTGCGGGTGACCAAAGAAAAGAATGAACACGTTGAAATACTTTTAATTATAGTTAATTTTGTTTTTATGAAATTAATGAGGCGATGTGACATTTATAAAAAAATCAGATACTCAAATAAATTTTAAAATAAAAAATATTCAAAGAATTATTTGAAAATGAAAATAATTATTAAATCGGCTCTTCTAAAATGTTAGTAATGCTAAGAATACCTTGCACAAAATATGTTATCAACGAAGAAGTTTTAAAGGAAATTTAAACGAAAAGGACATTTGTATTTAGAATTAGAAAGAGACAGTAGAAATTTCTGGGACATATAATGAGGAAAATGAGTTGGAGAATTTGAGACGCACAGGATATATTGAAGGCAAGAGGAGCAGAGATTAACATGCCTAACAAACTTGAAAAGGATAGCAGAACATAAATTGAGTGGCATAATACGGGAACAGACATTGGTTAGATCCCCAATGGATATGTACTTGTAGAGAGCTATGTTCGTCCACGTCCTGAAAGGACACAACACTTAAAAGAAGAATATTTATTGCTGTAGGTACATATCTAGCTGTTTACAATAAAGTTACTTTAGGTACTTTGTGAACTATTCTTTTTAATAAACAAATTTCATCA